ATGTCCAATAATTTCCCATAATAAGGCACACCCCCAAATTGCATTTGATTGTCACTACTACTAGCATAACTCCTTGTGCCAAATGTACCAAATATTCCACTATTTTGTGTTTTAAGGCCTTGATCTCTCTCCAATGTACGAAACTTGAATCCATTTACATTGTATGCACTATAACGCTTTGCACAATCAATTGGACCCATAGCTAAAAACTTTAAATCATCTGAATAGGATCCATTAGAGTCATTTCTTATCTAAAAAAAAAAAATCAATAGTCATGAAAATTATATATAAAAAAAAGTGGTTTAGTGTAAATATACATACACGACGTGAAAACCATTCAGCAAACTCTCTATGAACTTTCTTGTCTATCATAGTGGATGATCGTGTACGACTTCTCATTTGTCTACGGAGAATATCTCTGTATTCCCTATAAGAAGTATATAATGAAATTATAAATAATATTTTAAGTAAAGATCGATTATAGTAAATTATATAGTCAAAGTATTTACCGAATAAATGGGTCAACTTGTGCACAATTAGTCAATACATGACGATGTGCTTGTAACTTTTCCTTTGTTGATAAAGTGAAGTAAGTATAACCTCCGACTGGCTTACCAATAGGTGGAAACAAAGTGCTTTGACTATGTGAAACAATATCAGGTTCGTCATTAACACGACCTAATCGATTGAATATAGTCTCAATTCCATCTAAATATCTGGAACAAAAAGTTAAAGCCTCTTCAGCCATGTACCCTTCAGCTATAGAGCCTTCTGGTTGAGCCCTATTACGCACATAAGACTTTAATTTTCCTAAGTACCTCACAATAGGATACATCCATCGATATTGGACGAGTCCTCCAAGCTTGGCATCTTCAACTAAGTGCACAATCAAATGAACCATGACCGTAAAGAAAGAAGGTGGAAATAACATTTCCATATGACATAATGTGATAACAACTCTACTTTGTAGTTGGTCAAGTTCATCAACTTGTAATACTTTATTACACAATTGTCTAAAAAATGAACACAAATCAATCAGCACAGAACACACTTGCTTTGGGAGTGCCTTTCTTATTGCAAGAGGTAGAAGTTGCTCCATCAAAACATGTGAGTCATGACTTTTCAATCCCCCAAGTTTACGTTGATTAAGATCAATGCATCTACTAATGTTACTTGAGTAGCCATCAGGAACAGTAATGTTCTTCAAAGTTCTGAGAAAGATATCCTTATTTTCTTTTGTCAATGTATATATAGCAGGAAGATATTTACCATTCTGTTCAGGCCAAAGATCAGGTCTAATACCCCATTCTTGTAAGTCTTTTCGTGCACTTAAGTTATCTTTTGATTTTGTTGAGTCATTCAATAATGTAAATATAACATTGTCGCATACATTTTTTTCAATATGCATGACATCAAGATTGTGGTGCAACAAATTGTTTACCCAATAAGGAAGCTCAAAAAATATGCTCTTCTTTCGCCATTGCATAGTGGTTACCTTAGTATGACGTTCTCCTTGTTTTCTTTTTCCTCGCACCTCTTCTTCTGGTTGTTTCCCAAATACAACATTAAGATTCTCAACCTGTTGTAAGACATCCATACCTGTAATTGCCAAAGGTGGATTTCTATTTTCAACATTTCCCTTAAATCTACTTCGAACTAGTCTAAATTTATGCCTTTGATTCAGAAAACGACGATGACCCATGAAGCAAAATTTTTTACTATTACGAAGATGATTAGATGTAAAGTCAAAATTGCACCTAGGACACGCCAACCCAGTATGTACGTTCCACCCAGATAAGGTTCCAAGACCAGGAAAATCACTAATAGTCCATAACAGAGCTGCATGCATATTGAACACTTCATTGTTATATGAATCAAAAGTTCTAAGGCCATTATACCATAACTCTTTTAACTCTTCTACTAATGGCTGCAAATACACATCAATATCATTTCCCGGTGCCCCCCTACCAGGAATGACCATGGAAAGAACGAATGAACTATCTTTCATACACATCCAAGTATGAATATTTGAATTTATTAGTACAACTTTCCAAATACTATGACTTACGTTCATATGTGCAAATGGATTGAACCCATCAGTAGCTAAACCAAGTCTCACATTTCGAGGGTCTAAAGCAAATTGAGGATGCTTCAAGTCAAAGTTCTTCCATGCTTCAGAATCTCTTGGATGTCTTAACATGCCATCATTTGTTTTTTCTAATGCATGCCATTGCATATGCTCGGCTATTTTAGAAGACATAAACATCCTTTGTAAACGTGGCTTTAAAGGAAAATACCTCAAAACTTTTGCAGGAACCTTTTTTTTCTTATTAGCACTAGTACCACCAATCATACTCTTCTTACTTTTTGGCTTCCATCTAGATGTATTGCATTTTTTACAAGTTTCTCTATCTTTGTCTTCTCCAAAGTATAACATGCAGTCATATGGGCAAACATCTATTTTGGAGTAATTAAGGCCAAGCTTATTAATGATCTTTTTGGCTTCGTAGAATGTATGTGGGATTTTAGCATGCACAAAAACATCTGCTAACAACTCTAGTATCATTGACATGGCTTTGTCACTTATTTTGCATAAACATTTGATGTGATACAACTTGATTAAGAATGAGAGTTTAGAATACTTATCACATCCGTCATACAGACTTTGTTGCCCATCTTTCATCAACTCAAAATACTCTACAATATCATCAGGCATTATTTGACTTGATTCTGGTATCAGATTCTCGTAATCCTCAACATCATTGTTATAGACAAAATTCCCAAATGCATCGTTAACCATGTCACATATGGGATCATTAGTAGGACTTTTATCTTCATTTTGTTGTGACATTAGAGGTGTTTCAATAGTAGTTTGTTCACAACTTGTTTCTCCATGTAAAAGCCAAAACGTATATCCTTTTGGAAACGGTTTAATAATTAAGTGCTCAAGCACTACCTCCCGAGTTTGCCATTTGTTAAACTTGCATTTTGGACATGGGCAAATTATCTTACCCTCAACACACTTATTAGCAAAAGCAAAATCCAAGAATTTATGCAGCCCTTCCATATATTGAGGTGTATTTCGCGGCATGTCAATCCAACACTTATCCATGAAGACTAGGTCTGTTCATGACATGATAATTCAAGTAATTATTTTATAAAGAACTAAAATGAAAACCTTTTACTTATAAAAGGCGAGTTCAATTAAGATAATTGATTTTGAATTTTTTTCCTATTAAGTTAGAATTACTAGGATTGATTAATGAATCTAAGTGTTATTAGGTTCTAAAGACATAGACAATGTAACCAATTAAAATTTCTTTCGTAAAAGATCCTAATTAATACACATATAATGACAAAAAAAATCAATAAATTAGTTGCATTTGTGCCTAATTACATACCCAAATAGGAATCAAATATTTATTTATATTCAAATAAAACATAAGGCTAAAGAAATAATTTAAACAAATTAAGAAGCATAAGAATATATATTTTTGCTTGGGGTACCTAGTAAGCACGCAACAACCTAACTAGGTAGTAGGTAGGTACACAACAATATGACTTGGCAGTAGGTATGCACACAATCCCCTGCAAGCAACAACAACATAAATATATATGTAACAAAATCTAATCATAACAAAAAAAATTAAAACTAATTCTGAGTGTGATCGGAAAGGAAAGAAAATAATTAAACAAATATAGTGAATAGTAGGAAAAAGAGAAAAAAAGGAATTTCGAGTCTCGCAAAAAATATAATAAATGTTTATTTACAAATATAGTATAAAATAATTCTTCTTTATGGTATATCTCCCAGTAGAAATAGACAATTCACTATAACAATTCACTAGAGCAATAATAAAATAATTGTGATTGCACTTTCAATGATGCTTTTTTTTAAGTGACACTTTTTTTAATTGAGATCACAAGATTAAAGAAATTGCTTAAAGAAAATAAAATTATGTTTCATTAAAATTGCTGTAATAAACATTACTAATTTTTTTTATTAGTAAGAATTAAAACTACCGTAACATTTTTATCATAAATATTATTATCAACTAACAAGAGAAAAGATATTTTATATCTCTGTTTAATTACTCTTGTCAATAAATAATGTGTAATTATTATAAATTAAAAAACTTTTATAATCTTTTTATAATATTTATTTAATAGTTTTTTATTTTTATTTAAAAAGTTATAATTATCTTATATGTATAAATTAATTTAATTATCGTAATATTATTGAAAGTTTAAAAAATGGACATAAAAACAAAATAAATTATAAAAACAGCTTGTTGCCTTGCGATTTAAAGATGTGTTAAAACCTGACACAAATACAATTTTGACATTTAAAATTTATGTATTTTCCCAATAACTTTGATATGTAGAAGCACAAACCAAACTTTAGAAATAAAAAAAATGTGAAAACTGAGTGAGAAAAGCAAATAGAAATCATACCCACAATTGACAAAAGCCTTCTATTGGGTCCTTTCACCAGCTGCAAAATAGAAGGCACAGTGAAAACAATAAAAAGCTAGTTAGGATTCAGAGACGTGTAAAGAAAAAAGAAAATGACCAGTAAAATATTGCAGCAAAGAAAAAAGAAAATGTTTGCCATTTGATATGAATTTCAATTTCAATTTTGCAGTATTGGCATTTTAATATAGGGATGAGTAACAATGTTTATGATGGAAAATAATAAAACTTGATTCAATCCTGACATTATCTTGTATTTAATCTTTGGGTTGACAAAAATTTGCAATGTGACTCAGCTTTCTATTTAATTTTGAAAAGATCATTATTTAAGCTTATAATGAGTTAGGAATGCTCTTTTTCTTTTAATTTTTTTAATCCTATTAGTTGTGATGTTAACTCCAACTTTCTCAGAGGAAACTATTGTGGAATTTGAGGCTATTGTGGAAACCGTGACAATAGTATTACCTAACTTGCCTCAATAAATATCTCAGGAACAGGCACAGGGTATGAAATTCTATGTCAGAGGTTTAATTGGGAATCCGTAAGCTAGCGTAATAACACTCCCTAGCAGCCTTTTGATCGGCATGAATCGTAATTATTGTCCCTTGATCAGATGGAAACTTCATCGCTAAATGTGGTGTTGAAACGATAACCCCTAATGCATTCAAGGACGGCCTGCCAAGGAGGATATTATATGAAGTGCTAGCTTCCACCACGATATACTTCACTTGAACCTCTCTACTCTGTTGTTCGTCAAAACAAAAACGTGTAAAGAGTTTAATATAACCTCGGGTACTGACCCTTTCTCCTGCAAAACCGACCAACGGGTCATCATAAGGGAGCAATTCTTTTTTCGAAATGGCCAACTGCTTGAAAGTATTCCAATATAATATGTCTGCTGAACTACCCTGATCAACCAATGTTTTCTTGACAATGCAATTGTGAATTTCCACGCTAATAACCATCGGGTCATCCTGCTCTGGATCAATACCCTTGAAATCAGCATCGGTGAAGGTTATTGCTGGTAACCTCCGTGAAGACTGTCTATGAACAACGTTAACCGATCGAATTGCTCTAAGATGCCTCTTTTGAGCCGATGAAGTTGAGCCTCCACCAGCAAACCCTCCTGCAATAGTATTGATCACCCTCCTATGTGATGGTGCCGAGGTATCCTTTCTTTCTCGCGACCTACTTCTTTCTCGTGACCTGCTTCTTTCACGAGGGGCTCTATCGGAACGGTCTTGTCTGCGCCGATCTTGATACCTGGGTTGATATGAGCGAGTTTGCGACGACCCTGTCCGATCCACAAAATTATGCAACTTGCCTTGCTTAATCAAATCTTCAATTCTGTCTCTAAGGGCTGCACATTCATCAGTAGAATGTCCACGATTGCGATGATACCGACAAGATTTACTAGTATCCGCACGTGGTGGTGTAGCTGCTCTTTTTGGAATTGTCAATACTTCTGAAGCTAAAGCTTGTTCAAGTACCGCCGAACGGCTAGTGTTGAGGGGAGTATATTGATTGTACTTCGGACCCCGACTAGGCCGATCCCGAAGAGATATCTCCTTTCCTCTCCCCCTGTATGACTGTTCTGCTTGCTTTTCTACCTTGCTCGACGACTCAGCTCGGGCCTGATTACGATATTCTGCCAACTCTTCCATTTGCATATACTTATCAACCCTTCTCCTTAAATCACTCATGTCCAAAGGAGGCTTTTTACAAATACTATTGACAAACGGCCCCGGTTTTAAGGTTGTTGTGAGATGATGCAATGCTACAGCGGGGTTAAGATCTCGAATTTCCAGAGTAGCCTTGTTAAACCGATCCATAAATGCCCGCAAAGATTCCTTCTTGTCCTGCCTAATACCAACCAAAGATAAAGACGTTAGATTATGAGGACGACTTGTTGCAAATTGAATAGCGAATTGTGAAGACAATGTGTTGAACGAGTCGATTGAATTGGGTGGAAGACGAGTGAACCAACTGAGGGCTCTGCCTTTGAGAGACGTAGGAAAGATCCTACACAACGCAGCATCATCCGTTGTGCTCAGAGTTACCTGCGTCAGAAAAACATCCAAATGCTCATCAGGATCTGTCGTACCATCGTATTTATCAATAGGTAAAGCTTTCCAATTATCCATTAAGGGGAGTTGCATAATGGAGGGGGTAAAAGGGTGTCGATGCGATCCAACAGTCATCATATCTGCAGGACGACCCACAGTTGGTAAAGCCGAGGGGAACTTCTCAGGGACTGCTGCCGAAGCATGGGGAACCGAAGTATGTATCGCGTAAGATTGATACGACCCTTGAGTTTGTGTGTTGGTGGCATGAGTAGGTTTCCAAGAAGTATCTTGACTTTTCAACACCTCATTCTCAGCTCTCAAGGCCGAAAGCTCCCTTGCATCTCTCTCTCTTTGCTGCTTCATCAACTCCATTTCTTGCTTCAACAATCGCACCGTTTCAGAAAGATCGGTTTCATCAACGACTTCAACATGCTCTTCATTGGGACGATCCTGAGTGTTTGTTCTCCGAGTTACCGGCATTGTTCTTCTTAGTTAAACTTCCAATTAGCTTCGTTCGGCCCCACGGTGGGCGCCAAATGTACCTGTATAAGGATACACCAATGATCTTCTTGTATTCTGAAGGCCGAACGAGTGTTCTGAACGAGTATTCCGATCCAACGTGAGTAGACGGGTTTGTACCTGCAAAAGGCACTCCGATGCTCAAGTCAGCACAAGCACGGAAATCTAGAGTAATTAATGAACAGTGACGTTACCTTTTGACCTGAGCTATTTATACTGACAATCGTGGGCCCTGGACCTTATGGGC